CTTTTTGTTTCATTGATCTTTTGTATCTTTTTATTTAGTCTCAATTTCATTTCTTTCTGCTCTGATCTTTATTATTTCTTCCCTCCTACTAATCATGGGGTTTGGTTCATGCTTTTCTAGTTCCTAGATGTACATGATTAGGTTATTTCAAGACTTTCTAATTATTTTTTTGATGTAAGTTTTTATTGCTATGAACTTCCCTTTTAGTATTTCTTGCACTGCATCCCATAGAGTCTGGTATGTTGTGTTTACATTTTATTTGTTTCGGGAAATTTAAAAAGTTCCTTCCTCATTTCTTTATTAACCAATTAGTCTTGTTTAATTTCCATGTATTTGCAGTTTCTAAAGTTCCTCTTGTTATTGATTTCTGGTTTTATTCTATTGTGGTGAGAAAAGATGATTGAATGATTTTGCCTTTTTTGAGACTTGTTTTGTGGCCTAACACAGACCTATACTGAAGAATGTATCATGTGCTGATGAAAAGAATATGTATGCTTCAGCAGAAATGTTTTATAAATTTAATTTATAAATAGATAATTCTTTGCTGATTTTCTATCTGGATGATATGTCCAAATAGAAAGTGGGGTGCTAAAGTCCCCTATTACAATTGTATTGTAATTTAACTCACCTTTTAGATCTACTATCATTTGCATTATATTTTTGGTGCTATTTTTGATGCATATGTATTTTTAATTATTATATCATCTTGCTGAAATTACTCCTTTTTCATTATATAATGACCTTCTTGTCTGTTTTTATAGTTGTATTCTTGAAGTCTATTTAATCTGATATCAGTAAAGCTGACCCTTGAACAATGTAGAGGTTGGGCTGCTGACCCCTTGTTCAGTAAAACATCCACATATAACTTTTGACTCCCTCAAAATTTAACTACTAATAGAATACTCTTGAATGGAATCCTTACCAAAAACACAGAAAGTCAATTAACACAAATTTGTACTTTGCAAAACATGCATGGTTTTGTGGCTGCTAGTTTAGCTGCAGTGATAGCTTTGTGAATTTCCTTTTTATTTTTTACAATGGTCCTTACACTGGATTCATTTACCTTGAAATGATGGGCAACCACAGCTGTAGACTTCTTTTTCTTGTAATAACTTTACTCTGCTTCTTGGGAGCACTTCTAGCATCACTGCTGGTAGCACATAGTTGTGTCTTGTTTTTTAATTCATTCAGCCACTCTGTATCTTTTTTTTTTTTTTTTTTTTTTTTTTAGTATACCAGTATAACTAACACTCTGTATCTTTTAACTGAAGAATTTAGTCCCATTTACATTCAATGTTACTATTGATAGGTAAGGATTTATCACTTTCATTTTGTTACCTGTTTTCTAGTTATCTTGTAACTTCTCTCTTCCTTTCTTACTGTCTTCCTTTGTGGTTTTTATTTTCTCTGGTAGTATATTTTAATTCTTTCCTTTTTATTTTTATTGTATCTATTACAGGTTTTTGCCTGTGGTTGCAATCAGCCTTTTATACTAATAACTACTTATTTTGAACTGACAAGTTAACTTTGATCACAAAGAAACAATGAAAAAAACTAAAAAAACTCTACACTTTAATTCCATCATCCACACATTTTGACTTTTTGTTGTCTCAATTTATTTTTTATAATGCCTGCCTCTTAACAAATTGCTGTAATTATTATTATTGATTACATGCCTTTCATCTTCATACTAGATATATGAGCGGTATACAAACAACACTTACAGTATTAGAATATTCTGCATTTGCCTGTGTACTTACTTTTACTAATAAGTTTTAAACATTCAGATGATATTCTTTTAGCACATTAGTGTCCTTTTCTTTCAGAATTCCCTTTAGCATTTATTGTAAGACAGGTTTGGTGAGAATGAGTTTCTTCAGCTTTTGTTTTTTGGTAAAGTCTTTATCTCCATTCATGTTTCAAGGATAGCTTTGCTAGCTACAATACTTTTGGTTGCAAGGTTTTTTTAATTCCTTCAGCACTTTTAATATGTCATCCCACTCTCTCCTGTCCTGTATGGTTTCCACTGACAAGTCTGTTGGCAGATGAATTGGAGCTCCTTCATATGTTATTTGCTTCTTTTCTCCAGAACAGAAGGCTTTTGTTTGGGAATTTTTTTTTTTGTCTGTGCCCACTGGTGTTTTTGGATTGTTAGCTTTTCCAGCTCTAATTCTGACCTATATGAGGCAAAAAGAAAACTTATACTGTGCTATTCCTTGTACCCTGAGATCCCTAAACAGTTTTTGTCTTTTTCTCTTCACCTTTCAGAGTTTTCTTTTATGTTTGTTTTATATATAATGTTCAGGGGAGTTAGTGGTATGTAGCAGGAAAAATAGAGAAAAGTACATTTATTCCATTTTCTCAAAGAGGAAGTCTGTCAAATATAGTTACTTTAAGCCTTTCTCTGGATTTCCTAGAGGTCCATTTCTGTAGACTGTAGTTTATCTTGGATTTTGGTCATGCTGTCTTCTTTCATTATATGGCTAGTTATTTTGGATTGACTGCCAGGTGCTATCTATATCAAAGTATAATGATAATTTGAGGCTCAGATTTATATTATTTTTGTCCAGAGAGCATTTGCTTCTTGCAGGCAGCTGGCAGAAGCAAATATATGAAATATTTTAATCACAGCTTGAGATGATTCAAAGTGGGAGCTTTAGTTCACTATAGAACTGTTCTATTTCTTGTTCACTCTCACTCTTACAAGTAAGAACTTTTAGGGACATACTTTAGCCACTCAAAGTGTTAGTGGCTTACCTGGCCTACTTCTGAGCTCTCATCTAAGACAGACCGTGAACTTCTGTCTCACTAGAACTGTCATTGCATTAAAGCTGTGTTCGACCTCTCTACCCTCTCTGTTGACTGGTAGACAGCTGCCTATTCAAGAACTAGCAGATGCCTCTGGGGAAATGCAGCTTTAGAAGCTGGGCTTACTTCTTTTGGTTTCCATTTTCTCTTAGCTATCTGCCTTATAATTTTTAACTTTCTTGACAGGTCTCTGATGTTCTCAAACCAATTAAAAACAAATTTAAACACACACACATACACATACACACACACACAAACCCCTCCAGCATTTTTAGCTTTTCTCAGAAGTAGGGTTGGTCCTAATTGTCTAGACTGCTGTTATTGGAAGTGGGCATGTATCATTTTCTTTAGTTTTTACACATGCTATTCTGACTAGAATATAAAATGTTCCTGTGTGGACATCATGTCCTGTGAATCCAGAATCCCCATACCCTGATAGGAGGTCTGTCACACAATAAATAACTGCTGGATTAAAAAACATAACACGTGCAAGTCTTGTCAAATAATACATATGTGGTGTGATGATGGCAGAAGAATCAAATGTAATTTACATATCTTTAAAGCTTAATAATGGTCATGTCATTTCCAGAAATGACAAAAGAAGTTATCAGAAGGCAGAAAGAGGAAAAAAATGACTGGGGCGATCACCTTGATTTTTGGATGTAGCTGAATCTGACGTATTTGTGAGGTACTTAAATAAAGCTGTTCAAATAAAAATGAGAAATGCCAATTTGGACTTCTAAAAAAGAGGTGGGAGCTAGTTACTCAAGTTATTCATGGCAAGGGATGCTAAGGGAAAGAGAAAATATAAAGAGACTGGAGCAGCATATAAAAGAAAGGAGTGCTTAGATACATTTAGAGGATGGAATAATAACAATTCTTAAAGAAAACAGATGAGTGTTCAGAGTAAAAAAATGAAACTCAGAAGAATGCAGCATAATGGAAGCTAATGGGGAAGAGATTTTAGAGAAAACAACAATTATCAACATTGTCAAATGTGGCTGACAGGTCAATAAGGCTCAAGAATAAAATGTCTTATAATAATCATCTACCTTCAGAGTAGGAAAGGAAGGAAGGAAGGCAGGCAGGTGGAGGGTTGGAAAGTGTTGAGTTTTTAAGTGAGAAGAAAAGTTTAGAAAAGAATGGAGACAAATTTAAGAGGTCATTAAGAAAGTAATACAACACATGAGCAGATCTGAGGTCTTTAAAGAAGGCAAGCAGTTAATATTCGAATGTATTTTTTTCAACAGGTCAGTTAACATGCTGGGGTGAGTTCAAGAGGAGCTAGTTTTCAGGAGAAAATGAGAAATTCACTTTTGGATATTTTGAAAATTTGTAAATATATGGAAAAGAGAATGGAGATTGAGATACAGTTATGGGAGTTACTAATTAGAAATGACAGTGGAAAACAACAGTATGTAGATATTTGTATGTAGTGAAGTTTTATCAGTAAAAATGACATATTTTTGTCTTATAGGGGAATAATAGCTAATCTAAAAATCTTTTATCTCTAATGTGAATTGGTTTTTGAGAATGTGGAAATTGCCCTATTTTAATTTGAAAAATAAATCAATTAAACTACATGGATATCATAATCCTAATATTGTAATTAGTAAGGAGATATTTGTAAAACCTGCCAGAATTGCAAATGTATGCTTGAGTACAACAGTGTTGAACCAATCTTATGGAAAAATTCTCCTATGCTTTGCTTCTCTGTATAAGGAGTGCCTTATCTGGGGACAACAGAAACAAAATGAAACATATGCAGGGCTACTATTCTACCAATAGAGACATGAATGGGCTTACTGGTTGTTTATAATCAATACCTGTTTAAATAGTAAAGTGTTTATGCTGTACTAGTTGTGAACCATTTTAAATATAACTCTTGCTGATTTGATAATATATTCACTGAATTACTTATATAAAACATTTCCATACTTTAAAAATCCTAAAGTACATTTTATATATATTTCTTTAACATTACAACAACCTTTTAGAACACAAAGAAATCATTAGAGCCTCCATTTTGACGATTAACCTAAGATACAGTTGCTGCATACTTCTTTGTTATTTACTATGTTCAAATTCATATTTCTTCTACTAATAACAGTGACCCTGCATAAATTCACCTGAAGACTAAAAGTCAGTTCACTTATAATATAGTTATTCTTATTAAAATAAAATCCTCATACCATTTGGTGATGCCATAACAATCTTTAATAATATCCTGAAGAACGGCACGATAGAAGAGTGACTCAGTAGACAGCTGAAAAAAATGTAGACATATATGAGCACAAGAAACAAATAAAAAACAGAAATTAAATCAATACCAGGGAGCCAGAACTGTAAGTGAATGTCAGAAACCTGACTTTGTTGCTAAATAAAGAGGATGACTACAATATTTCCATTTCAAGTTAAAGTATTACCCTGTGGCTAATTCTCACTGTGGAAGTAACTCTGCAAGAAAACAGATGAAACCACAAGAGAAATAGTAGTGAATGAGGAAGAAAAGTCATAATCAATGAAAAATGGGCTGATGCCTACATGGAGTGTTTATTAGTTAAAAATGCAGAAATAAACTTCAAGACCAGCCACTCAGCTGTGGAGCCTGTAAGAGTCAGGAAGGGCATGAATAAAAAAGAAGAGAATGCAGTTTTGTCTTAATGGCAGTAGAATAAAGATAATATCAACTACGATTCACACCAAGAAAGAGAGGATACTATCCTAAGTAAAGAAATGCTAAAGATATGTCTGAGGTCTGAAAGATGGCATTGGCTGGCTACTGCAGAGTTGAAAAGTAGAGGCCTGGAAAGGACATAGGATAAGAGATTGCATTCTTGGCAAGGCTTCTCTTCTAGGGGAAAGAGAGATGGGAAGTGTTCCATGAAGGTTCAAACGTTTTCAAAAGGAAAGAAGGAATGGCTGAAGAGGAAGGCCCAGTGACACAACACAGTTTCAAAGAAGCAGAAGGTGAAAAACTATTAATATTTATAAAACAAAGAGCATTTCACTGCAGCAACAAAAGAGGCACTCTTTAAGAAACTATAAAAGTCACCAAAACCCCACCCCATCCTCACAGATCTTTTGATGTTGATGGTACAGGATACCCAACACACAAAATAATGTTAGCAGCAACAACCCATCTTCCATGCAAAGTTAATATTGGGAAAAAAAAAAAAAAAAGAAAAATGAGTAAGAATGAAGAGGGGTCAATAATACTGCATACTTTTGAGAAGTTAATCAGGGTTAAACTAAAAACTGGAGACTGGTCAAGTTTTAAAGACAGAGTTCAGTGGAATGTGTATATCCACTGAGTTATCTTTTTGTAACTTCTATTCTACTTCATTTTTCTTCAGAGTCCAAAAGTGTTATTTTCATCAGTTTCCAACTAGAATAAACATGTTTGAATTCAGATAGAATTTATAACAAAATACAATTTTATCTATATGCTCTGGCAGAAAATCTACTCTACTACCCTTCTCCCTCATCCAACATTAAGTTACCACACTGAGGTGCTGAGACTACTTAAAACAGAAGTTGGGGGCTGAGGGTCAGTCATCATTTCTTGGGTCTTTCCCTGATGGCACTGCACTTTTAGTTCACTGGAGAATATCTTACTTATAGCATATTAACAGAGCACTGTGTCAGAACACAAGTTATATCCCCACTAGAAGATAGAAATAGTGGGCATGGTGATTCTAGTAAGAACCGGTGTTATGAATCAACTCGTCCACGTAAGAAAAAAAATCACCTGTAACCCCCAACTCTAATCTATTTAAATTTTAAAAAAACAATAAAAATTCTTTTTAAATGGTACATCAATGTTGCATATAAGATTTTATGGGTAAACATTTCTCTTATTCTTGTTTTGCAATTCCATATTACTATGTTTCTTTTTTAGGGTAGGTTTTTTGACATCAGTTTATTGTAGTTTTGATTTTACCTATGTATTATTATTTTGGAAGACAATTTACAACTCTGTATATACATTTTAAGTCAATGTAAGCTATAATTAAAATATGAATCAGCAAAAACAAAACAGAAATGGTGTTATGAATACCACAGTCCCCAAATCAGGTCCTAAAATAACTCATTGAAAGTAGACTCACACACAGATTTCAATGGCCATCCTAAAACTTATAACCTTCCAAGGTATAATTCTTATATGAAATCTCTTTCCAAATGCAACTCCTTCACTTGAGACAAAAACTACTGATCTCAAAACTTTTTCTTTGAAAATTGTGCCAAAACATTTCATTTAAAATTTTGTATCTCTATACATATTTTCATTTGAGATTTTATCATTTAAGAAACTCTTTGCTACATACAGTACCCAAATCTCTACTTTATCATCTGTCCCTTATTTCCTTGAAAATCCTTTCATTTCTCTCACAAAATGTTTAAATCCCTTTTCATCTATTAAGACCCACTCTTATAATGTTCTACTGAAATTCAAGGCATTTTGGCAAATCCACTATTGCATGAAGTGAAATATTACTATTAGTACTACAAATGGCTTACCAAGTTCTTAACTTTTGTTTGATTAGCTATAATAAATACTTTAATTTTATATGAAACTTATAAAAATAGTTAAAACTCTCCTTTCTCATGCTTTTGAAAAAAATTATATAAAATGATACCAAGAAAATTTAGAAATAAATGAAATTTATATTGTTATTAAAAACTATAAAAAAGACATTTAAAAAGATGAAGAAATGCATTTTAAGCAAGAGAACATGCAGAAATGGAATGCACAGAGAAATACAGCAGGATAGAATAAATCATCATTCCCAAGTTGCTCTGAGTATGTAAGTGTTTTACAGCAGTTTCCTAAGAGAAAGAGAAGAGAGTTATAAAGTGCCTTCAAATGCACATTCCTGGAATAACTAGGACTATCCATCCTGGTATATACACATGGGGGTAAGTGGGAAGGGAGTCAACATCTCCTGAGCAGCCTGTGCCCAACTATTCCAGGAATAAACTAGATGTGGTTCAGAGTTTACTTTCTTTCCCTCACAAGTGATAAATCAACTTAACACTCTAATGCATAAAGTGTACATCCTTAAAGCATATGTATTAGACATCCATTTTACAGGTCTAGTGGAAAGGGCACTAAGCTGGAAGTAGGAGCTCTGCAATTAATTAGGGCAGCTAGAGCACATCATTAAATTTCTGCTGTGTATCATTCTCATTTAAGTTTAGAATAATATTCAACTCATATGATTGACTATAAGCATGAGCTTGGGAAATTAAAAAACACCACACAAATGTACTGGGCATTATTAATACAATAAAGGTTTTTTCCAGGCCCTTATAGAACCATTAAACTGATATGTAGTACAGTAGTTAAGAGCTTGAACTCCAGCATCAGAGATTCAAATCCCAGCATTCACTATCTTAAAGTGCCCTCCTGCATATCAATGGATATTTATACCACATATCTCATGGTATTATGTATTTATTATCTTAATTGATGAGAAAAACTTTGAACAGTACTTTAGTAAGCTCTCTGTTAGATTTACCTAATGTTTTCACGATTATAACTATTAGTTACCTATAACAGCTCACATTTATTGAGAACTATGTCCTAGTCATTGTTATAAGTATTTTACATTTTTCTTTCATTTAATCCCATGATAAAGGTATTCTTACTCCTACTATTATTAGTCTTCTTCCTATTTTTACAGATAAAGAAATTAAGCTACAGAGAAATTATGACACGAGCCCAAGGTCATTGAACCAGTAAGTGATGAACACAAGATGCAAACCAGCAGTTTGCAACTAAAGTTCCACAAACTTAAACCATATGCTCTAATGTCAATGCCTTCAAAAGAATCTGTTTTTATCAATTTTTGGATAGGCATAGTGAATACATTTTAAAAAATAATAACATACAAAATGTTTCTGGACTAGAGTGAGTGCTCAGTAAATGACACTTGTTATTGATATTATTTTTAAAAATTCAAGAAGAAATCTTGGGAAAAGTTTCAAATAAGAACTCTTAAAAAACCCCTAATATGTTTCATGAAGATAAGATGAAGGATAAGACAATTATATGGATATTTAGGGGATTATATTTAACTTCTGTTTATATATACAAAACCATTTGGCTGTTGCAACTAATGACTAATCAAGTCAATAATGGTCAACCAACCAATTGAGGTATGTGTTTTGGACCAAAATGAAAATAATAATATACTGAATACTATAACTTGTTTATCTTTACTTGAACTAAGCCCATAAAAGCCTAACTGTCAGCAGCAGCATTTTTTAGAAATACTTACAGACCGTTTAGCACAATAGGAGGAAATGAGAGGTTAGTATAAGAGCATAATGTGGAAATTTTCCTAAAAGCTCAATTTACTCTCTGAAAGTTCATTTCTCTTTTAAAGTAAACTTATGGAAAAGACATAAATCTCAATATGCAGCAGTGACAAGTAGAGGTGATATTTATTAAAATCCATCAGGTTTTAAGTTCATCAGCAGGTCAAGTATGAAGAGTAGTTGAAAGAAAAACGATTGTGTTCATCACTTGGATTAACACTCTTACTCACCCCTTGGCCAACTGCAACCCGCTCCAATGCCTTTAAGAAAAAAAAAAAAAACAAGACAGACTGTTGACATATTTAGTCTTATGTTATAAGTTTTATAAACACATTGCATAAGGGTTTGTAAAAGTGACATTTAAAAAGATTAATTGATAAACATGTAAGTTTATGCAGTTAAAAGTGTTAATATCATTAAAGAATGTTAACTAGTATGCTTGCGTAATTTAGGCCTGATTTATAATAGATGTGTGTCATATACACAAACACATATCCTTGAATGTGAATTCCAATTATATAGTCCTTGAATTTCAGAAGGAGATTATAGGAAAAAAATGAAATGACATATTCCTGGCTCACTTTTAGTACAGTCAAAACAATCAAATTCAATGCTATTATTATGCATATATACAAATATACAGATATATTTATATGTTATATTTTAACATATTTTCTTATAATTTTTAACGAACATATTATTTTGTCTTTTAGTAAACAAAAACAACATAGTGCCATGAACAGACAACACTATGGGCTAAAGTGTTCTAGCCATAAATATACCTGTCGAATCAGGCACAATTGAGGTTTTATTTAATCAGATAGTTACTTCATATCCCAGGAAGCTTAATATTTGATAATATTTAATATTTAATAATATTTTTCCCATTGTATAAAAATTCAGGAGATCAAATGATCTGCTACAAACAAACATAAACACATCACAGAGCTGTGAAGAAAGTACTGAACTAATTCTTTGTTTATAACTTGGTACATTTTATATAATAATTGAAATAATCATATATAAAAATTTGTTACATTACTACATGTAGAGTTGACGATGTTGGAAGGGCAAGTCATTTTTCTTCATAATTAGCAATGCACAAAAGTATTATTGATGATATTCTTCTGCAAAATTTGGCATTTACTGCATGATATTAGCCAAAAATAATAAATTCTGCAACATCTAAATACAGCTCTTACTCAAGGAAAAAATATAACCATACCAAACATGCTGACATTCTGGCATTACGACCACAACACCATCTCTCTTCTTTTAAATAGTGGCACATTGGAAATCCCCACTTTTCTTGAGTACATTCTGCAGATGGAAAAATATGGATTATTTTAATAAAATTCTTCCTGTTTCAGTTAAAGTAAATAATCTATTGAAAAAGCAAATTAGTCATTGAGAAAGTCAAACAGTAGTTAAACATGGAAGTGGTGATGGAAGTGGTTCATTCATTAACTGAAAGCATATTAATGTTATGAATATGGTATTTGCTCAACAACAGCTGCTTTGTGTTTAAGCTCCAAGTCTGATACCAACCAATTTGATACTGACACAAAACGATTTCTCTAAGATTTAGCAAAAGCAATTTAAAATGTAAATACTCTTCATGTTCAGTGTAACTATGGGAGATAAGGAATGAGATACTGATCATTTATTGCTGACCTGACTTTTTTTAAAAAGTATCTTATTAAACATGACATTTGGCAACTTATAAAGCAATGTGAATTCATGTCTAAAAATGTTGAAGCATCATTTTTTTTAGCCACTATGTTCCTTTTTCAGAAAAAGAACACCTGTATAGGTTCTTATTTGTTCATTATATTAGGAAGCTATAATATTTTCAACTATGATCTGATTTGGCTCAACTGCACTTATGACTTAAATAACAACAACAAAAATCAATCACATATCTACAGCCCTAATCACAGAGTTACAGACGCAACTTGCTAATGTTCAAACTATTAGTTCCATGAGTTTTTTTTAAAAGGAAAAGAAATCAATTTCTCTTTTAAATTAAAGCATGGAAAACAGACTTAAATTTTATAATTGTGACAATGAAAAGAAAACTGAGATAAACATAAGTTTCTATTAGATTAAAAAGTAAAACAGAACTAAAAACTTGAAAACAAGAAAATGCTTTAAAAGAAAATGCAACTGGGGTAGGTTCCACTAAATAAACTTCTGTGTCATGAGGGATCAGATGACTCTTCCTTAAAGTTCCTTAACATGATTGACAAAATCCTACATGATTTGCTCGTGCCTACCTCACTAGATTCATTTCACACTATATTCTCTGTTTTAGCCTTTTGATAAAATAGATTTTCAATCTTAGATATCATCATTGAGTATATTGAGTACTTAGTATGTGCAAGTAACTATTAGTGGCTAAATATTCTTTAGTTTCAATGAATAATCTGTACCTAAGATATATATATTTCCTTCCCTTTTTTAAAACCATTGTACTGAGGTATCATTGACATACAAAAAGCTATAAACATCTAATATATAAAACTTGATGTGTTTGGAGATAAGCATACATGTGTGAAACCATCAAACCATCATCACTAGCAATGCCATAAACTTATCAGTTCCAAAAGTTTCTTCCCTCTCCTGTTTCTTTTTTTCCTTTTGTGGTAAGAGCACTTAAGATCTACCCTCTTCGCACATTTTTAAATATACAATACAGTACTGTGAATCATAGCCTCCATACCATACAGTAGATCTCCAGATTTTAATTTATTTTGTATAACGAAAGCTTTGTACCCTTTGACCAACACCTCGCCATTGCTATTCTCCTTGGCCCCTGCCCTTGCTTCTGTGTTTGATTATTCTACTATTCTACTCTCTGCTTCTGTGTTTGCCTATTTTAGATTTCCCTTGTAAGTGAGATCATGCAGTATTTGTCTTTGTCTGGCTTATTTCACTTAGCATAATTTCCTCCAAATCCATCCATGTAGTTGAAAATGGGAGGATATCCTTCTTTTTCAAGGCTGAATAATCTTCCATTGTATATATAAACCGCATTTTCTTTACCCATTCAAGGCTGAATAATCTTCCATTGTATATATGAACTTCATTTTCTTTACCCATTCATTCACTGACAGACGCATAAGTGATTCCCTTGGCCACTATGAATAATGTTGCAATAAACATGGGAGTGCAGATACCTCTTCAAGATCAATTTCAATTCTTTTGGATATATAACCAAAAATTAAAATGCTGAATCAAATGGTAATTTTATTTTTAATTTTTGAGGAACCTCCATATTGATTTCCACAGTGGCTGCACCAATTACATTCCCACCAAGAGTGTAAAAGGATTCTCTTTTCTTCACATCCTTGCCAACACTTGTTCTTTATTTATTGATAACAGTCATTTTAGCAAAATGTGAGGTGATATCTCACTGCGCTTTTGATGTGCATTTGAATTTTTATCCATTCCATAAATATGGGCTGAGCCCCTACTGGTCCTTTCTTTTTGCTTTCACCAGAATGTAAGAAGGTAATGTAAGAGGATAAGAAAACAAATGTCCAGTAAAAAAACAAAACAAAAACAAAAAAACCACATATGCTTCTTTAATAAAATCATATGTACATTAATGAGTCAGTTCAGATACTACTTTCTTAGTATTTTTAGGCATAACTATAGAATGGCAAAGTCTATAGCTGTTGTACTGGAAAACTCTGCACTGGTTTGGGAAACACTGTGATAGAAGCTCTCTAACAGAGTTTCTCATTGTGTATGGCAGTTTCTCTCTGCTGTAACATCCTACTCTTGATAGAACAATGTATAATGAGATACATATGGAATACCTGAAACAATCTTTATGCTAATATTATTGATGATGTTCTAACTTCATACCTATGAAAATTTCACTCATTATACAAGACTTATGATAAAAAAAATTTAGACAACTTGCTCACAATCTATTTATCACGGGGAGGGGGCAATGCGAGAACACCATAGCAAAATATTTTTCAAGGTCATTTGCACTATAGTATCCAAATCTAGATTTATACATAAAACTAGTAGACTGTAAACTAGTTTTTTTTTAAAGCCTGTTTTGTATTAGTTTGATAGTCAACTCTCTGACAAGAATTTCTGTTCAGCTTTGCTTTCGTTTCACTTTATATCCAAAGCATAAACTCTTTCTCTTTATTATTACGCCTTTTAAGTGGCTATATTAATTTTCTATTTTAGATTTAATCACATTCTTGACTTCTTTTATTTACCATGAACACAGGGAGAACTTTTCTATGCTGAATACATCCAATGGGCATGAGCTTCAAAACCACTTTATATTAGTCACAAAAAATAACGAGGTGAAAATTAAAGAAAGTAAGAAGCAAAATGTACTAAAGATCCATTACTAACTACTTCTAGGCAGCCTGAAGATGCCCTGTGGCAAAAATAAGATCAGTGGCAACATTCTAGAAAACATGCAGCTGCCTGACTGAAGATCACATACAGCTGTCAGTGTGAGGTGATTGTGCAAAGAATGCCAAGTACATCTAGAAATCTCTATTCATCCCATATTAACTGGCAAGAATTTTTCTGAGACATAGGTCCAGCTGAACAGTGAGAAATAATATTGTAACAAAAGCTTATAAACAGCTGAATCTATAAGCCTGGCAGTAAAGTCTACTTATCTACTAGAAGCTTGCAAAGAACAATACCTAGAGTAGCCTCCCTAGAAACTTTATTCAGGCTGAGATATGTCCTAGTAGGTTTTCATTGGATTATTGAAAAAGCTAAAAAAAACTATTAATACTGATAGTTAATAAAATGAATACTTAAAGATGCATTTGCTATGAATTATTACTAGATAGTTCTACTTCTTAAAAATCAAACATATAAATCTTTGGGAAAAACAACATTTATGGCCATTATCATACTGGTATAGATTTAAAAGTATGATTTTAAAAATCTTCACATTATCATTCAAATACAGAATCATAGCAGGAAAGCAGAATACTTACTTATGTAAAACTAAATCTAAACATCCCGATAAATATAAACGAGGTTCAGTTTAAATAACACACATGTTTTAGAAAGCTGTATTTAAGTCATAGAATTATATCGTTAAAGCCATAAGAGACAGGCCAGGCATGGTGACTCATGCCTGTCATCCTGGCACTTTGAGGCTGAGGCAGAAAGATCACTTGAGACCAGGAGTTCAAGACCAGCCTGAGGAACACAGTGAGACCCTGTCTCCATAAAAAGTAGAAAAATTAGCTGAGCATGGTGGCATGGGCCTGCAGTCCCAGATACTTGGGAGGTTGAGCCTAGGAATTTGAGGTTGCAGTGAGCTATGATGATGCCACTGCACTCTAGCCCAGGCAAAAGAGCAAGACCCTCTCTCAAAAACAAAACAAAACAAAAAAGCCACAACAGACAGATCATCTAATTTAAACTTTCTCTTGTTTCGCTAGTTTATAGATGATCCACAAAGGCTAACTGATCTATTCAAGGCTACAATACTGCAGAGATAGAATGAAAACTCTAGTCAAATGATCACTTCTGTGTAATGTCTTTGCACTCCCTTGGGCATTTATAAATCACTATCTCCATGCTTCCAATGTAATGTATACATAACGCTAACAGCACCTATCACATTATATTACAACTGTTTTTTCTTATCTGTAACAAAATCTATTACACTGCACATTTCTTTAAATTGTTTCATTTAGAGACCCTCAGTATCTAGAAAAGTGGGCAGTGGGTGGGTACACAATTTACTGAGTATCTACTAAATATCAGCATATTTTATGTTAAATAAATGTTCATTGATATTCTCAATGCTTGAGGTAGTTGTTACTATATAGATCTTATGTTTTTGTAACTTCAGGTTTTAGATTAGGAGTTGCTAAACAATTTTCAAGTCCCTATCTCCAGAGTCTTGATCAAATACTAATGATTTATAGGAAAGCTTAAGAGAGCTCATTGGAAAGAACTAATTTAAAATGTAATCACTTATAATTGTTTTTTAAGCTTTCCTTTCTTCAAGGAATTATTTGAAACATAATCAATCACATAATTTGTTTTAAAACTGTATTTTCTCAAATTTTATGCTAAAATTCTTACAAAAAATTCTTGTAATGAGCATGCAATGTAGTGGGCACCATGATAAGTGAGTAAAATATTTTTTCTTTAACTTACAAAAAGTTTACAAATCTGAGAAATCTCTATGAGATTCTGTTGAGAAATGAAGTCCTTATGTGAAAAGTTGGATGACTGACAAAGAAACAAACTTAGGAGGACATAATTTTTTTTTCTGTATTTGTCAAAATAAAGCAACTCACTTTTTT